TTATGCACGGCGCGCGCGAGCCCGGGTTCTACGTGGGCCTGCGGGCGGCGCGGGGGCGCAGGGGCCAGCGGGGAGGCGCGCGCTCCGTAGCTGGCGGGGCCGCGGGCCGGGCCGGGCGGGCTGGGATGGCGCCTCCTCCGCCTTCGCCCCACTTGCTGGTGCTGGCAACCCTGGCGGGGCTCCTGGGTCCCGATGAGGTAAGGCCACCCGCTCCTGGGAAGGCTTCGGCCCGGGATCTCAAAGCGCTTTGCCGAAAGTTCGTCCTGGAGGGAGTGGACTAGGAGTCCCCCCGCTGGCGGGCTGGGCCTGGGGGGGAGATGGCAGGGCCCCCGCCGAAACCTCAGCTTACGCCTGGTACCTACAGGTGGTGGCTGGGTCGGCGGAGGAGGCGGAAGCCCGTTGTCCCGAGGGCCCGTGGCCTCTGCCCCCACAGGTAGGACCGCTGGAGGGCCGAGGGAGAGAGGATGTGAAGGGGTAGCCCAGTCCCACTCTGGCCTCGCTGCACCCTCGCAGTCACCCTCTGGGGACCTCTGCCTGTTCCTCCTGCCCTCAGTCGCCAACTTCTTCATCCTTGCCTGGCACTTGGGGCCTGCTGTCCCTCCGCACTCCACACACACAGTCCCCCAGCTCCTCTAAGTTCTCTTCTTTCCCCATGTATAGGTGTCACCAAGAGTGACCTACACAAAGGCGAGCCCAGGGCAGGTAAGTTCAAGCAGGGATCCATCCTTGGGACCACACATGGAGACAGCGAGCTCCTTGCAGGCTCTATTCCTTACCACTTCTCTCAGAAGAAGGGAAGTTTCTGGTTCCCCACCCCAGGACAGATCAGCCCCGGGACAATGAGGCATAGGCCCTGTCCTCTGCAGTGCTGTGTCAGGAATGCTGTCGGGCAGCTGGCTGTGTGAACAAGAGGCTGCAAATGCAGCTCTGAAGGTAGTAGGAAAAACACCCAGCACCCGAACTCCCCTGTGTGGCTGCAGGAAGTCTCCTGACTTTCTGGGCCCCAGTTTTCTGTAAAAGAGGATATTTTCTATCCCTACCTGTGAGGAGTGAACGAACGTGTGTGACAGCACTTTGGGAAGTACAAAGCTGTATTGTGTAAGGAGCGTGCCTCAGGTTACTGGGCTCCAAACTGGGTTCAGCTTGCACGGCTGCCTCTCTGTCTTCATTGCCGTAGGTTAGATAGCTTCCCTGTCCCTGTGAAATATGTAACTTTTTTTGATCCTCTGTAATAGCTCCAGGCCCAGAGATGTTGCCTCAGGCCACCTACCTGATTCTTTTCCTCAAACAGCCCTTTCATTAAGTCGTTCCACTGTTCAGAAACTGTCGGTGGTTCCTTATTTCCCACCTTATCATGGCCACACTACCCAGCTTCCTCTCTAAATCTTTGTTCCTCTCTAGTCGTGTTGGTCTGTTCACCACACAAGTGAGTGCCAGCCTCATTGCCACCACCGCACCTTTGCTCCTGTTTAATTCTCCTCCACACCTGACCTATCCTGACCTGAAGCATGCAGCTCCGTCCCTACTGCCATCCATCCCCATCCGTCCTCACAGCCCAGTGCGGGAGTCAGCTCCCCCTTGAGCCCTTGCCTGACCGTGTCAGCCTTTATTTATGCCTTCTCCAAATTCCTGTCTATTATAACCTGTCTATTTTAATTAAGCAACTAAGCGCTTTGAATTTTATTAGTTTGCTCTTTCATTTGTATTAGTTGTTTCCCTGAGTTTCTTACACATTCCCTGCAAGCGGAGTCCGGGAGTTCTCTTTCAGCATCTCCTGCAGCATCTAGCACAGCGCTGAGCATGAGGTCAGCTCAATCAAAGAACAACTAATGATTGATGGAGTGTTTCCCTCCTGAGATTGTGCGCCTGCTGTCTGCGTGCCCTGTTCTTGGATGCTCTTTGGAGATTGACTATATAGATCGGATTGATAAATAGAAGACCTTGTCTTCATTTGGGGGTTGCTTACAGTCTAGACTGGGGACTTGTAGAGCCATCGTTGCGGGTGCAGAGAAATATAGCTAAAGAGTGTGGTCAGAGTCTGACAAGGTTACCCAGGCATGCGGTCTTGGAGGCTGTGAATTTTGAGGGGTGGGACTTGATGGAGGAGGGATGAAAGGCACACTCAGAGGCAAGAGGGAGTGCATGCCAGTACCCAGGGCCCTCCATTCTTTCCTGGACCCTGATGGTGGAAGGGCCATCTCTCCATCCTGGGAGTCCCTTTAAACTGGCTGTCCAGGATGGGGGATCTTGAGAGTCTGTGGGAGGGACCTGGGCCTAGCTTGATGTCTGTGCCTTTCCTCCAGGTTGAGGATGTCACCTTCCTGTACCATCCCTGTGCTCACCCCTGGCTGAAGGTCCAGCTTGCCCTCCTTGCCCACATTTGTGTGGCTAAGCCCTCACTCACCCCTGACTCCACCCTTACTCAGGATCGGGTAAGTGGCTGGTGAAAGGCCGCTGTCTGGCACAGGCAGAAGGCTGCAGCCCCATGTGCAGGGAAAGGGAGATTCCGGGGCTGCCTCTTGCTAGCCCCTCACCTTCATCTTAGCTCTAACAGTGCCATCCTTTTGTAGCCCCTGGTGCTGACAGCATGGGGAGCTGTGCTGGAGATGGCATGGGTAGAGCCAGCCTGGGCTACCCACTGGCTGAAGAGGAGGCGGCGGAGGAGGCAGAGGAAGAAGAAAACGTGGTTCCACTCTGACAGCCTTCCTGTGCCTTCTCCCTTGGTGCCAAGCCTGGGTAGAGGGAGGCTGTGCCAGAGAGGGTGTGTGCAGGTGAGGGGTGCTGGGCCCAGGTTTGGTTGGTTGTGGGGTCATTGGGTTATCTGAGCAGGACAGAGGTGACTGCTGTCTCTTCTCCCCTTAGACTTCAGCTTTGGCTTTTGCTCTGCGGAGCTGGCGGCCCCCTGGTGCAGAGGTGACATCTAGAGAGCCCAGGCAGCCCTCTCCCAGTGTTGCCAAGAGGCGGGGGCTGCGGGCTGCCCTTGGTCTCCAGCCCACTCCTGCCCTGAGGTTTCCCTCTGCTTTTCTGCAGAGCTTGAAGGCCAAGCAGCCCATGTTGGGAGCCCTGGGGGAAGAGGGTAATGCCCTATCTGTGCCCACTGTCTCCCTGCCTTCCAGGGAGCCTGGAGGCAATGCCAGCTCCAGGACAGAGGCTCAGGTGCCCAATAGGCAAGGCAGCCCAGGGGGCTGTGCCTGTCCAGGTCAGGCATCACCAGCCCCCCGTGCAGCAGCATCTCCAGGAGCAGCCCGGGGCCCCACCCCACGAACAGAGGAGGCCGCCTGGGCTGCCATGGCCCTGACCTTCCTGTTGGTGCTGCTCACTCTGGCCACGCTCTGCACCCGGCTGCACCGAAACTTCCGACGGGGGGAGAGCATCTATTGGGGGCCCACAGCTGACAGCCAGGACACAGTGGCTGGTGAGACATTCCCTCCCTACCCACCAGCCCTGCCCAGCCCCCCAGCTCCCCTGCCCGCCCTTTTCTTGACTGCCTGCCACCCTGCCCACAGCTGTGCTGAAGCGGAGGCTGCTGATGCTCCCACGCCGGGTCAAGCGCTCCCGCCGGAGACCCCTCCTCCCAGCCACACCGGACAGCGGCCCTGATGTGGATAGCTCGGATTGACCTGCCCCAGCCGGGCTCCTTCTCCCGCCCGGATGCCACGTGGACCGTGTGCAGAGACGCCCTCTGGTGGCCGACTGAGCGACCCTGCCTGAGTCTTGCAAAGCCTCACGCATCTGTCGCTGGGAGAGGGTGGCCAAGGGGAGAAACAGGAGCTGTCTCTGCCTCCTTGCCAAAACTCCCTGTATTTCTAATTAAATTATTTTAGTAGAGTCTGGAGTTGAGCTTATGCACCTGCCACATAGACACACTCCCACTGGGACACGAGTCCTACGCCACCTAGGTTGTGTTTCGGAAAGTCAGGTTGGGCCATCGCCAACCTGCCTCCTCTGGCCAGCTTGGCTTTAGACGTGGGATTTTGGGAGTGTCAGTGAGACAGACAGTGGTGTTACTGAAACATTACTTCCAAGTGCCTCTTCTAAGACAGCTGTTCCCCGCACAGGGGCCTCCGTAGAACAGGGGTCTTCAGGCACCTGCACTTTACAGTGCTTCACACCTTGCCAGGCTGGGTCCTCTCATGACTTCCACCCCCAGCTCCCGTCCAATCCTCTAAGGGCCAGACACAGCACATGGTCACTTATTTATTTTTGATACAAATGTACATGACACACCACCTGACAGCCCACCCACCACCACACAGGTAGGGCCTGGCCCCCTGGGGAAGAGGTGGAGTGGGGAGAAGGGCCTGCAGGTGCTGCAGTCTGCCTCTCCAGCCTTCCCAGGCTGCAGCCAGGCTCCTGGGCCTGCAGAGGGTGGGACCACAGCAGGTGCAGGGAGTGACGGTGGGTGCTGGCCTTGCAGAGGTTACGGGGAGGGGGCTTTCAGCTCCACAGCCACCAGCTGAGTTGGGGACCCTGGGGAGCCAGCCCCAGGCTCAGGTGCTCCATCCTCACCCCAGCCAGCCACACATCCCCCTCCACGAGGGAGGGGAGAGATGGAGGGGAGTGATTCCCATTCTAAGTTCATAGAGAAGTGGGGGCAGCAATGAGAAGAGGCAGTGGGCAGGACCACAGTGGGGGACCCTGGCAGTCCCTGGCCCCAGGTGGGGGAGGGAGGCTGACCCCCCACACTGCTCTGGTCTTCTCACCCCTCAAAACTCCAGATGGACCAGGCCTCCGGAACGGCACTGCCGCCCGCACACTCACACGCAGGCACGCAGGAACACTCAGTTACCACAAAGTTAAAATTAAGGGGTGGGGAGAATAGAGAAAAAAAGATTTTCCAGTGTTTGCTGCTGGGGACCCCGGCACACAGGTTGAGGCCTATGTCCTAGGCAGGGGCCATTTGGCATTAAAGGAGAGAGCAGCAAGAGGGCTGGTGGCTACAAGGCAGGGACATCCAGAGAATATGTACAAAGGAGGGGGATGCCCCCGCTCAGCCCCCAATAGGGCTGAACTGGCTCATGGGGGTGGGGTGCATGTAGGGGGAGCTGCCCCGCTTGGAGTGTCCCCACCAACCCTTTGCTGAGGGTGCCCCAGAGGGCGAGGGGCTGGGAGTGATGCTTTGTAGGCTCCCGCACGCTGGAAGGGAGGGGATGCTATGTACAGGGGGAGGTGCATGGAATGTGGGGGACAGAAGCTCCGGCCACCCCACCTCCCCATCCTTGGGGACTTAAGGGGGGGTGGGCACCAGGGCGCCTGGCTGCCAGGGGAGAGTGGCAGCACTAAGGGCACTTGTGCCAGTGGCTCTTTTGGGGTGGGGATTAGTGTCTGGAGTGGCCCAGCTCCCATGGCCAGTGAGGTCCCAGGGCACGGGTGATGGTGTAGGGAGAGTGGTCACTGCTTCTTTTCTCGGGTGGTGATGGTGACCAGCTGCTTGGCAGCCTTGGCGATGTCATAGGCGCACTGGATCACCTGCTGAGTCAGCAGCTGGAAGTCCACGGGGGCCCCAGGCTCTGGCGGCACGGTCTTCCGGCACTCGCTCTGCAGCCGATAGGCGCTGGCATTGAGCAGCCGCAGTGAGCTGCGCACGGGCTCCAGCACTGGCCTCTAGAGGGAGGAATGAGGCTGGTCCTTGGACTTTAAGCCATGGCACTGATCATGGCCCAGCGTGTCCGGGTCTCCACCCGTCTGCCCCACCCAAAGGCCCTCCCCCTCCCACTCTTCTCTTCTGTTCCCTGTACCTTTGGGAAGAGAGAGGCCATCTCGGTCACAGCCACGTGGATCTTCTCTGAGCAGGGCACAAAGCTGTGGGGGAGAGAGGAGGGTATAAATCGGGGCTTGTCCAGAAGTTTCCCAGGGACGGTAGAACATGGGCCCCTCTCCAGCCTTCTAGCACCACCCTGAAGCTGATAGGAGCCTGCTCCCCACCCCATACCTGTCGTGCTTGAACTCTTGGGCTGCCCGCAACAATTCCTGTATGTTCTTGGTGACCTGCTCTGTCTTCAGGATAACATCCTCTGTGCTGGGAAGCCCAGGGTCTAGGTCTCCATCCAGGCTTTCCAACTCTGGGTGGAAGTCCTCCTCCTTGCCCAGCTCTAGAAACCTCTTCCCTTCCAGCCTGAGGTCCGGGTTTGAAAAAGAGAGAGATGTTCCAGCCCTGGAACTACTCACCTATGCCCTCACAGACACCCTGGGGCCCTCCCAACCTCGCCCCTCGGGGGTGTGTGTGCAGGGCTGGGGTTGAGACCCAAGGGTGCCTCACCCAAGCAGTGTGTCCCCACTTTGTGTGTTCTCATAGTCGCTGTCGGCACCACTGCCGTGGCGGGAAAGCTTGCTCTGGAGGGTAGAGACAGGGTGGGAGGTGAGTGCACATTCCTGGACCCACACAGCCCTCAGCCCGTCCCTTGGGCACTGGGTCTGGAAACATTACCGGGTGGCGGCTTCCTTCCTGGGAGCATGACAGCAGTGGGGAGGAGGGAGTGAAGGGCACAGCTGAGGCAGACACCCCCTTCCGGATCTGAAACCCAGGGCAAGGCTAGAGTCAGTCTCCCCTCCTCCCCACCCCCCACCTTCTAGCTTGCCCACAGTGGGGGCGGGGATGTGGCATGTCTAATCATCTGCAGCCTAGCACAGAGCTGGACACCCACCAGGATCAGAACCTACAGGCTGATATGGACCCACCTTGCCCAGGCTCTGCTTACCCGGTAAAGGCCGGCAGGAACGTGCACCGAATAAATGGTGTCATCCTCCTGTTCCTAGGGGTGTTAGCACAGTGGGCGTCATGGCAGGCCTGTGGTGGCCCCATCCCTCTGTTTCCTCATCCCTTGAGACCCACAGGCAACTCACAGTGCTGTGGAAAGGCTGTAGTCTCGTGCTGAGCTCGTCCCCAGGTGGACCCCCAAAGGGCTTCAGGGCAGAGCCTGGCTCATACATGGAGAAGGCCTGACGGTCCCTGCGGTGAGAGCTGCCACCAGGCCCCATGGCTGTGTGTTCTGCTCGCTCGCTGGGGAGTGGAGGTGTGGGCACAGGCCCTGGTGGCTGCCGGAGCTGCAGGTTTTCCGCCTGCAGCTTGTGGATCTGGGAGTGCACACAGTGGTGTCAAACTCTGGCTCCAGGCAGGCTCCCCTGCCTCTGGGACAGGGTGATCCTACCTCCCAGGGTCCTGGGAGCACCCCCACTCCCACTGAGGCTGCAGTCCTCACCTCCCTCTGCAGCCTCCGCAGCTCATCGCTCAAGCTACTGTTGACCTTCATGAGCTGCTGCACTTTTGCCTCAGAGGTGGCCAGGGCCTTCTTCAGCTCCAGGTACTCCTGCAGCGTCACGGCCCCATCGGACAGGTCAGAGGAGTCCATGCTCTGCAGAGAGAGACACAGCCAGTCAGCCATCGGGGCAGGGGAGCAGATGCCCTCAGGGGCTGCTATAGAGGCAGTGACCAGCCCACTTGTCCCCAATGCCCCTGGTCTACAAGAAGACAGAGCTGGGCCCTGATGGAGGCCCAGGATGGGTATACAGAAAAATGGGTGGGAGGGACAGTGGTCAGACCCGGGCACGGTTGTTCCGAGTGGCACCAGCGCTGCGCAGAGGCTCCTGGTCTGTATCCTCATCAGAGGCCACGCTGTCGTAGTCGTGCTGGTCGTCGAGGTCACTCTGGTTCCGTGCAGATAGCTCAAGGTTGTCTAGAGACATCAGGCCTGTCAGTCAATGCTCACTCAGACACACAACCTCTTTCCCACAACGCCCCCGCAGAAGGAGCCATGAAAGAGAAGACCCTGGGATGGCGCCCACACCTGCCCATGTCCACCCACCTGTGGGGCTGCTCAGGCTCTTGCCCTGCTGTCTTCGCTTGGCCTCACTGAGAATGTCAATGATCAAAGTGGCAAACTCTCGGGCATTAAAGCGGGCCAGCTTCTGTCGCCCCTGCAAGGCAGAAAGGGCCAGGCTGGCATGAGGGGAGCCTCATGGCTGACAACGCCCTCCTGTCTGATGTAACCATGGCTAAAAACTCCCAGACCAACTTTACCTGGCCAGTCAGCAGCCAAGGCCTCCTCTAGGCCAGGCTGGGGCATGATTCTGAATCAGGGCACCTAAGGGAGCTCTTCGGAAAAGGCTGGAGCACCCACCAGAGGCTGTTTACCAAGTGCGCCAAGGAACGGCCTCTTCCCCACTCCCAAATCTACTGCCAGCTGGGCCTTGAGAAAGGCCTCATCAAGGCGTGGTGTGCTGGCCCAGGCCCCAGCCACAGCAGGCTGAGGAAGGACAGGCTCACAGAGCTGGCGACCCCAGGAAGAGAGGAAACCGCCCCAGGCCCCCTACCCAGCCCCTCACCTGATTCCGTGTGGCTGAGTATTCAGGGTTAACAGGCAGGAAGGGCACTGCACTGCGCTCTGTCACCAGGGTGCTGTGGTTTTGGGTAGCCAGCCACACTGTGGGGGAGGGACAGGGAGCAGGTCATCCACAGTGGCCTGGCCTACGGGTGGAGGTGGGGAAGCGCTGAGTACAGCCTTCCCAGCTCCTCCCCATGCCCACCGAGCACTGTGGTTCAAAATAGGGGTGGTCTTCAGGCCTGCTGAGCTGGGCTGGGTAAGGGCAAGGCTGGGAGAGGCCAGCTGGGGGCTGACGAACAGAACAAGGCCAGTCCCACAAGTCCAGACCCAGAGTTTGGGCTGGAATCTGGCTGTGGCCAGGAAGGAGTGATGCAGGGGGCGGAGCAGGGCTGGGGAGATAGCCAAAGTGGGAGGCAGCCAGAGCAGAGATGAGCACCAGTTGGCGGGTGGGGCTTGGGGGAGCTGGCTGGCTGCCTGCAGCTCGGCACGCTCTGCCCTGTGCCCAGCTGGGGACGCTGCCCAGGAGGGCTCACTGCTGGCAGGGCTTATCTGAAGGCATCCCTTCTTAGTCCCACTAAAGGACCAGAGACAGACGCCAGGTGCCAGCCCTGCCCCAGCAGTGTAGGTGCTCTTGCCCCATCTGCCCAGGACTCTAACACCCCCACCCCCCCAACTCACCTGCATCATTTTCCCTTCGATCCACCTCGTCATACACGTCCATAGCGAGTTCCTCAAAAAGTCGGTTGCTGAGCTGGAGGCAGAGAGGGAGCCACGGGTTTGGTCGGATCAGTTGGCCCCCAGTGCCAACCAGTCCATCTCACCAGGATGTTGCGAGACGTGGGGAATGGCTGATGTCCCTTGTGCCGTCCAGCCCCTACAGTCTCAGAAGTGGAAAATGGGGCAGTGGTCTGTGTGGCAAGCTCCAAGGTGGGAGAGGACAGAAGGGAGGCCAGATCCAAGGTCAAAGACAAGGGGTTGGGGAGGTCAGAGAAAGGCGACTGGTGAGGCTAGTGAGGGGGCAGGTCAGAGACTTGGCAAAGGATATCAGGTCAGAGGAAGGGGAAGCAACAGAGAGGTGTGGGGGGTCAGAGATGGGGGCCACTCCAAGCGTTAGGGGCTGGTCTGAGCAGACTCACCGCCTGCAGCTTCTTCTTGGCAGCTTTGGCCAACTCGGACAGGTCCAGGCTGCAGACGAAGGGGGGAGATGGGAATGGGGAGAAGGCAGAGGAGGGGGAGAGAGTGGACATAAGAGGTGGCCAGGCTCCTGCTAGTAACCTCCCAGACATGCAGGGATTCCCCAGGAGACAACACCCCAGATGCCACACACCAAGTGCCTCCCTGCCCTCCCCAACCTCCAAAGCCTGCTGCCCCACAGGCACGATATACCTCTGAGACATGCACTTTTGCCGAGATCTAAGTCCAGAGAAAGGCAGCAGAGGGAGGAACAGGATAGAGGCAGCAATTACCCAGGAGCAGAGTAGCACACGCCTCCTCACATCAAGCTCAGACCCACACCCCCACAAACCCCTGGCCCCAAGTGTGTGAAACTGGACTCCTCTCACGCCCCCAGCCTGCCCCTCCTCTTTCTCTCAATGACTGCTCAGGCAGCACCAAAGTCAGCAGCTTGAGGGACACCTGAAGTCTCCTTCACCTTCAAGTCCTAGCCAATGCCTCCAGGTTCTGCCATTGTTTCCTCTTGCCGAGGCTTTCTCAACACTTTCTTAATCCATCTCTGCACTTCCAGTCTTGCCCCTGCAATCTTTTTTCCACCTAGCAGCCTGGTGATCTTTTTGACACATCTGGCTCATGCCTTTAAAACATGGTACACCTCACACTTCATTAAAAAGCTTACTTAAAAAAGGTGCTTTGCATGTATTATCTTATTTAATCCTCTCAACAGCCCTGAAAAGTAGATACTGTCCCCTCCACTTCTGGGTGAGGTAACCAAGGCTCGGAGAGGTTAAGAAGCCTGCCTCAAGTCACACAGCCAGTAAGCAGCAGACCTGACTCCATACACTCATGCTCAGAACTCTCTGTGCTGGTCACAGTTCTTGTTGAAGCTCACGGGGCTTGTCATTCTCTCACCTGACTCTACTCCAGCCTTCCCCCTGGGATCCCCTGCCTCCCCCTGCCTCTCACATTATGATCCAGCCCCACGAGCAGCCTGCCCTTCCTGGCATAGCATTTGTAAACTCTAGGCCTCTGCCCCTCTTGCTGCCCCCCCTGTAATGGACAGCCTGACTAGGCTGCCTCCCTGCTAGACTGTGAGCTCCTCAAGGGCGGGGATCGTGTCTGTTACCTCTGTGTCCCCAGTGCCAAGAGCAGCAGCTGGTTAACAATTCACTGTATGTTCATATGTGGGTGTGTTTACTACACACACGTGCACACACACACACACACACGCACCAGGCAGAATGAGGCCAGAGAAGTGGGGGAGAGGGAGATGTTGGCGTCTTAGAACTGAGGAGGTCCTGGTTTAGGGATCTGAGTTGCCTAGGCCTGACTATCCGCATCTGTCCACAAACGCCCTTGGGGAGGGAGAGAGCCTCCTCCCTCCAGACCCAGGCCAGCAGGCACAGCCTGGCATGAAGATGCGGCTGTCAGAGGTGGCCACCAGGTGGTGCCAGCATTTGTCACGTGAGGTGGGTCGGGGTGGGGGTATCCTCCACTGCCTGGGCGCTTGGGACCTCTCAGATCAGAGGCAGAAACACTCATTAGTACCCCACCCTCAGACACCTGCCCAACTTCTGATATGCCACAGAGGCCCGGCCAGTAGTCCCAAAGTCAGTCAAATCACTGGAGCCCACCCTTCTTTTCAGTGAAGAGCAGATGCTTGTCTAAAGACTTTACCGTTGGGTCAGTGCTGCCTGGACAGAACCCAGTGGTCTACACTCCTAGCCTGGGGTCTTTTCTTGCACCGAAGGCCTCCACATACTTGACAGTCATGGGGCTCAAGCTGTGCAGGCCACATGCTGAGCTGACATTTCAACCTGCCTGGGGCCTAGCATTAGGAGTGAGGACTAGGCTGTGAAATGCCTATGCCTCTAGCCCCTGGGGGTGGGGGTGGGGATGGGGTCCCAGCTAGCTGAAGCCTAGGGAGTGTGAAGGTGGGAGCTCTTGGGGTCAGGTACCCACATGGCATCCAATAGCCTCTGGGAAGGGGCATCAGGTGAGCACTCACCTGTCAGCCATCTGTGGGATGATGTAATGCCCATTCTTGTGATCTGAACAAAAATAAAAATGCCAAGTCACTGGTGCTGGGTAGCCTCAGCAGCTGGGAGCCCACCTCACCACCATGAGCAGGGTTTGGCACCCAGAAGTGTCACGGGAAAGGGAGGAAGGCAGGCCACCCCCAAGAGCACTGGGAGCTGGCTGGAAGTTATGCCCACCCCCACTCCCCAGCCCCAATGTGCAGCAGCCCAGAGCCTGCAGCAATTTCACAGAAGCTAGTTGCCTAGCAACGCTGTTCCCCAGCCGCTTTGTCACCATGGCACCTGCTGCTGGGTGTGTCTGGGTCCCACCTGCCTGGCCCAGCCATACTCTGCTCACCTGGCTTGCGTCCACAGAGGTAGAAGGCCAACCGGTCAGTGAGCTCGTACTGGCACTCAACTAGCCTCTCTGCCAGTTCATGGTGCCCCGCCTGCCTGTGGGAGAGGATGTGACTCAGCTCTGCAGCAGCAGCCCACTCCCCTGCCACCCGAGCCTCACCCTGCAGCTGACCCTCACCTGGCATAGTCAATAGGTGTGCGGCCATTAACATCGGGGGAGCCAGGGTCAGCCCCATACACCACGAGCAGCTCAGCCTGCAGTGTCTGCCCTGCCTTGGCAGCCACGTGCAGAGGTGTGGTGCCCTTCTCTGGGTGGAAGAAGTTGGCCTGGGCGCCCAGGGATAACAGGCGCAGACATGTCTCCAGGTTGCCTGTCCGCACGCTTGAGTGCAGTTGCTGCAAGGAGCAGAGTGCACGATAAGTACGCGTGTCCATGAGGCGCACCCCAACCCCAAGCTACACCTACTTCAGGCTGTTCCTGGGACTCCTGCCAGCTCCAAGGGGCCCAGCTGAAATGGGGCCATTTCAGGGAGGACAGAGGGCTTCCCACTACGAGTTAATGCTAATTAATTACAGCTGCCATCAGTCACCATCCACCACGTGCTGTGTGCTCTGCTTGGAACAGATATTCTCTATGAGGTAGATAGAGTGATTGCCTTCCAATTTTACAGGTGAGGAAACTGAGGCTCTTGGAGACCAAGCAACTGCCCCAATGTCTCCCAGTTTTCAGGTGGCAGCTGGGGGATTCTAGCCTTGTGTGTTCACTTGGGACCTGAGGAGCCTTGGCCACACACAGCTTGACCGAGCAATCTTGTCCCTACACTGTGCCCATTGTTTTCCCCTGACCTGGCTGCCTTTGGTACCTAGGGCTCAGTGGTGACAAAGGAGAGGCCTTTGGCATTGTGGGTAGGAGGAAGAGAAGAGGCCCACCCATCTGTTGTGGGGCCCCTCAAACCTTGCTGAGGTCTTTGGCGGTGACTCCGTCATCGTCCCGGCAGGGAAGCTTATGCACAAACGCCAGCATCTGGTACTTGGCCCTGATGAACTCTGACTTGATGGGGCTGCATGGGGCACACAGGAAGGAATGGGGAGCAGAGTGGGAGAGGCTGGTCACCTGGGCCTCTGTGCCAGATGGCAGCCCCTGACTACCACCCCTCCAGCCCTGCTCACTGGACTTTGTCTTGGGGGTTGGCTTTGCGCCGGCCACTCTGCACTTGTGCGGGGTCCAGCAGAGAGTGCTCCCAGATGGAGTTGGCCCCGTTGCTGGCCAGCGTGTGCACCATCTGCGGGGAAGAGAAGCCAAGTGAGAGAATGCCCACTGCATGCCGGGCATTGGGGGAAACACTTCTCAAGCCTGCTGCGGCCAGCGTGGCTGGAAACAGTACCGAAGGGACCAACTGTATGCCTGGCACTGTCACGTCATCATCCATTCGGGCCACCCAGAGACATGGATACCGCTTAGCACTCAGATCGTGTGGTGAGTGTGCCAACGTGATGTGGCCAAGCTAGTAAGCAGCAGAGCCAGGGTGAGAGTGTCCTCTCTGGGGTGAGTGGATGGGTGGAAAGGATCAGGATTAGGCTCTGTCCCAGGTGGGTGCTGCGTATTCCAGACAGGTGTGTATGTGGATGTGGGGGAAATATGCCCACGTTCCGCCTGCGGGGCAGGAAGAGCCGCCCAGCCCAGCCCTGTACCTGCAGCAGCGTGGGAGGCCAGGCGCTGTGGCGAAGGTGCTTGACAATGGAGATGTGGCGTCCCAAGCTCCGGTGCACGCTGCAGCACTCGTCACACACCAGCACACCCCTGCTGATGGATGCCCAGCCTGGGTCTGCCGGGGTGGGGGCAAAGGTCAACCAGAGCCAGGCAACAGACGAGACCTCCTGAGTGCCTGCTCTGGGCTTGCACTGCACTACGCTCTGTATTTCCCCCTCACACACTTACTCAGCCTCCAGCAGCCTAGGGGCTAAGGCCGTCAGCATGCCTAGATTCCCAATGAGGGAGGTCCCCAAGGGCTCACAACTGGAGGGTGACAGAGATTGTCCTTTCCTATAAATCCTTGCCCTTTTGGGGATGTGCAGCCCCCAGGGCCCTTTTAGTGGCACGGCTTCCTGTCCTGTAGTCAGCACTACCAGGGAACAAGGCTGCTGCCCCAGCCCCTCCATAGGGAGACAGGAACCCCCTAAGGGATGTGACCCTGAGGCTATGTGCCAGACACCCCCAGGCACCCCTCCTTTCTCTTCTGCACCCAGGCTTCTGTGGGAACCTCACTGACAGGTTGTGCCCCTCCTGCCCTGTCCTGCCGTTCCCTTGTGCTGGTGGTCAAGAGGCCCTTTCATGCCCCGGCCTCCTGCCACCGTCACTGATGGTGTGAGCTGGAGCCCCTCTTAAGGAGGATGGACAGAACAAAGTAACTAACCTTGATTGAGCACCCAACTGTGTACTCGCTGGGTGCTATAGGTATGATGCCTCTTACAACTATAGGGCAAGGTATGGAATGCCATCCCTGCTTTACAGATGAGAAAACAGTAGCTCAGAGAGGTTACAGGGCTTCCTCAAGATCACACAGCTAATGAGTGGAATTGCTGGCATGTGGACCCAGGCACTCGGACACCAGAGATCATGCCACATCCACACTTGCTGCTATCCCTCTGTCCTGCAGCCCCAGATGGGCAAGAGTCCTGGAAGCCACTCTCTACTCCTTGGGGAAAAGTGAACTTTGGAAACAAGGAGGGCCAGGACTGGGTGGAAGCTCCTGGGGTCCTTCTTAAGGGCAGGGGAGATGGTGCCCCTCTGCAGAGGGGGAGGAGACAGCTGCATACAACTCAGGCTGCGGAAAGGTCACGGGGGAGAAAGCAGCCATTGTGTGCCACCATGAGCGGGGGCAGGGAGCCTTTCTCCCAGGACACTGTGCTCTGCCCAGGCCCCCACCCCGCTCAGGAAGCCCTGTCCTGGGAGGAGGGGCTAGCTCTCTGCCCTGCCTGTAGGGCTCAGGGTGTCCAGAAATGGCGCCCCCAGGGGAAGGACAGGCTTGGAGTGATAAAAATCTCTCCCAACCAGAAGGCAATTCTCAGGCCTTTTCCCCCAAGTACTTCCATCAACGTTCTCAGGAAAACTGTGAGGAGACTGAGTCAGGGGCCCACCCCGAGCTCTGCCCACAGTGAGTGTCCTCCAACAAGGCGTGGAAATAGGAAGTGAAGGAAAACGCTCTTCAGTCTATGGGTCTTTAGGGACCTGCCCAAAACAGGGAAACATAAGGACACACAAGGTACCTGCCATACACCTTCCTGGGAGGCTGATTCCAGGAGCTCATGAGGAGAGGTCAGCCATCCAAGCCAAGAGAGGGAGCCCTAGGGCACACTTTTGTGTTGGCTTCACCCAAACAGTGAGGCCCTCCAGGCATGGAAAGCTCCCTCCCCCACTCCCAAACACCACTGGGTCAGGGGTCTGCCTGCCAACCACCTCCAGAGGCCCAGGCAGGAAGCCGGAAATGATGCAGCCTAAATTCCTCTTGTTGAAATGGTGGGGTTTCCTGTAAGTGGGGAGCCGCCCAGGCCAGGATCCTAAATGGGCTGCGCTGAGGCCTCCACCCCAGGCTGTGGCCCTCCGGAGACAGCAGACCTGGAAAGGCTAGCTACACATCCAGGGCCAGTAAGTAGCCCCACAGCGAGCTCCAGGCCATGAGTAGACCAGACCTGGTGAGCCCCTGGACATGGCAGTGACCAAGAGAGCAGCATCCAGGGAATGTGGTCCAAGGATTTGGTTGGCACTCTCTGCCAGCCCTTCATGGTGACCTGAAATAGGAAGAGTGGGCAGGGGCCAGTGTCCTGGTCTGGGCCATACTTGGTGCCAGCTCAAGTCAGGCCTTCTGCCTCTCTTCGCATGTCACTGAATTCTTTTCTCACCCCAGAGTGAAAGCCCAGCATCTCCTCACACAAAGCAGGTCAATTTAGACAGCAATTAACCTTTCCATGCTTTTCCCACACACATGTGGCATGGAAGACAATTGACAGGTAAATATTTGCAGAAAATAAAACTATATATATAGGAGAAAAAAACTATATATATATATATATATAGGAGAAAGTAGTAAATTCTTGCAATCAATCAGCAAATACGTATTGGTGTGTCCTCTGTGCTGGATACTGTTCATGGTGCTGGGGACAGAGGGGAAATGAAAATCGACAGAAGTGACATCTAACTTTTATTGAGTGATTTTTTTTTTCCTTTTTGTCTTTTTTACTGACCGGCAACGGGATCGCAACCCTCGGTGTTGCACCCGCACCATGCTCAGCCAGTGAGCGGGAACCGGTCTCCACATGGGATCCGAACCCTCGGCGGGAGCGCCGCCGCACTCCCAAGCGGCGCACTCTCCAGTGCGCCACCGGGCCGGCCCTGGCTCAGTTCTTGATGACACAGAAAGGGAGCCCACTCTAACTGTTCTACCTACTCCCTATGCCCAAGTGGCTTTGGGTCCACCCAAGCAGGAGTCCCCAAGCCCTTATACCAGTTTCCTAAGCAGAAAGGCCAGGAAAGGTCTCTGAAAGTCAAACAACTATTGCAGTTTAAGGTTAAGGGACCCTCGCCCCCAAGAGGTTCCTTGGACCAAACTTGGGGCAGAAGTGACAGGGAACACAGGGGGTTAGGGATGTGGTGGCCTCCTCGGTATCTTGTCTGCCCTCCCCCTGGGCTTCTGGCTCCACAATCGGGGTGTGGGTTTGATATGTGTGGCAGGTAGCAGGAGGGATCTGGGGATAATGCTAACCAGTGCCAACCCCACAGAGACTTCTATTAAAGTGAATTCATCACACCACCAAAGCCATTTAGTGGCCTCTAGGGCCAGTAGGTCTGCATGGAAAGGCCAGCATCAGGCCTCTCTCTCCTGAGCTAAGGACCAGATCCTCAATAGACAACAGGGAAAAGCCCACCATCTTGGAAGCAGGCACGAGCAATCCATGGGGATAAGAGTCAGAATGCTGGTTACTTTGGGGGACACTACTGGGAGGGAGCACAAGGAAGCCCCCTAGAGTGATGGAAACACTCTACATCTTGATTAGAGTGTGGTGGCTATACAGGTATATGCAAATGGAGAAATGCATCAGGATGAACACTGAGGGGCAGGTGCTTTGCCATACATAAGTTATATACCTCAATAAAAGAGAAGGCTGGCCCGTTAGGTCATTTGGTAGACATAAAAGTCAAGCGCTTGAATCCCCATACTGGCCAGCCACCAAAAAAGAAAAAAGAGGAAGAAAAGCTCATCATTTGACCTACCCCATAATCTACATTACAAACAGACAAATGAGCCTGCGTGTTGTCCTGTAATACGTCCCCAGCCAGTGGCCAACACTGCTCACTCGAGGTGCCCACAGGATGAGCATCTTAAGTTTTTCGCCCCTGTGCTCTAGGCTGCCAAAATGGAAAGGCTGAGATAGAGGCCCATGGGGTGAGGAATGGGCCCTTGAGAGCTGGGCCAGGGAGCTCGGGACTGAGACCATGTGGCAGGCTGGGAAGAGGTGCAGGGAGGGGGTAACAAACATTCCCCAGAGCTCCCTAACCCCTGACCCTCTCTTGGACTCCCAAGGCAGGCAGTGACACAGATGGCACCTGATGAGATGGCACAAGTTGCCACAGCAGCCACTCCACGTCCAGCTGCCTTGCAACATACTCACACTTGTTCTCTGTGTGCCCAGGCCCGGGAGCAGAGGGAACATGGGACCCTTTGGAGACAGGTTGCATCTCACTTCTCACCTCCATGACCACCCCCGCAAAGTAACCAACTGCAAAAAGTCCACGATCCAACTCATAAGGCTGAGACTGCTAGGTTCCTATCAGTAAGGATGCCTGTGATTCTAGGTTGGAGGCATACAACATCATAGGGTTGGGATACAGGGTAGTATCTAGCAGCCAGCTGGGGTCCTGGCAGCATCCAAACACTGGGGGTGGGGTTGGGGGGGGGTTGCCTGCCATGTTCTAGACACCACACTGGGTGCTGGGGTGGGAGGATGAGTAAGACTCTGTCAACATCCTGCCCACCTCATCTTTTCACCGCCTTCCTGATCTGTATTCTGGGTCAGGGGAAAAGGAGGGAGCTGTGGCACAAATGCCTCTGTCAGATGAGGACTGGGGATGGATAGGAGCTGGCCAGGCTAACACATTTGCTACACACCATTCCTCCCCAAGCCATGGGGCATTCAGAGGCTTCAGCCAGACATTCAAATGCAATCAGAAAGGACAACAGCCTTGCTGATGCTGCCTGGCATCCCCCTGCCCCAGAATCAGGATTACAGATCTGGAGATGGGAAGGCCCTCAAAAACCATTTCTATTCCAACTTGTTTGCCTCACAGTTGAGGAAGCTGAGGCCCAGAGTAAGAAAGTCTTGCCATGGGTCACAGAGTAAGCTGGAAACAGAGGCAACACTAAAATCCAGGCTCTCCTGATAGGGTGTCTGCTAATCCTCGCCTCACAACCCCCATCTGTTATGCCCAACCAAAGGAGGTGCAGAACAGCCTGGGACAGACACATAGAAGGCAAGGTCCTCTCTTAGACCTTCCATCCCAAGACCTGCCTATGATTGGGGAAAAGGGAGTCATAGTTTCCAGCTAGCGGTAAGGACACCCATCCCCAGATAGCTCCTCCACGGCCTTCCACCCATGACATGCCCTGAGAAAAGGCTTCAGGGTCATGACCACCCACGAAATATCCTGTGCCCATGCCCCTGCCTGGTATCCACAGTTCCCAAATACTCTAGCTTGGAGCCACCAGAACCACCAAAGTATCTGTGGGGTTCAACCTGTTGGGGTCCTGGGCCTATTCAACGGGTGGCTGGAAGTTATGAGCCCACAAAACAGGACCCCACACTCTCACATATAATCATACCCACAGTCCCCCAGAAGTTCACAGACCCAGTGAGCCTGCCCAGGGGTCTCCCAGGAATATAGCTCCTTTCCTAAAGAAAGGATGGACAAGGACCAGATTTTCGTTCCCCAAGCCAGCTTCTGAGCTCCATCATTGGCTGTGTCCTCACACATCAGAAGGGAGCAGCCTCTTGGGTCACTGCTCCTTAATTCCTCAGCAGGCCAGGGGTTTCACACCAGCCCAGACCTAACTCTGCTGGGAAAAAGGGAAACAGCATGTAAACCAGCCAGGAGCCAGGCCAGGAAGCCAGCTGGATGCCAGGAATCTAGGCACCTCTTGCCACTGCTCCCTACCCATTTCTGGCCAGCCTGGGCTAGGACACAGGAAGGGGTGCATGCCCAGAATGAGGCAATACCAAGCCCACCTTCCAAAGCAGTCCTTACTGGGGAACAGGCAAAGCCGAGTCCAACTGTCCCCAGTCACCAGCAGGCCTGGTGATGCCTCTAGCGAAGATGCCCAGGTTTGGACTGGCCCTGAACACCAAGCCCTGAAAGGGGCTTGGGAACCGGGCGCAGGGAGTCCTAGGAGTAGCCAGGCCCTCATCTGCTCCTGAGGAAACTATCCAGGCCCCCTGGCGCATCTGACCGGCTCTCTGCCCCTTGCCCTCCGCCACCCCGGCGGGCGTACCGACCATGCGAGCAGCAGGTGCAAGTCGCGGGGGTGGCACTGAGATGACACAAAACCACACTCGCCCCCACCTCCTAAACCCTGCTGGCCTCCGCCATAACCCTCCTGCCACCCCAGGCTGGCGCTTCCGTTTGGATATTGAGATGGGGGTGGGGGGCGCAGCTAGCTGCCCGCCTCCCTCAGACTGAGGAGGGGGAGGCGGCGCCGGGAATGTCCTTCCTCGCTCGCCCACAGACTCGAGGGAAGAGGGGACCCCCAGGCCGGCCCTCCCGCCAAGGACGCGGCTCTGCAGTGGCCCGGGCGGGGACCGAGGCCGGAGGCCGCAGCCCCCCGCCCCGCCCCTCCCTCCGGCCCCA